TTTTTTTCAACCTCCTTCTGGGAGACTTTTCAGAATAGTCCGCTCCCACTCCTCCATGCGTTTCACCCTTTAAATCCTCATTCGATATACGCTGCGCACAACGTTGCGGTTGTATTCTTCTTCCATGTGTTTCTAGGTGTACGGGTTTTATGATGAATGTTTACGGAAGTATGGTAGTGCAGCAGTATGGAAAGCTTGTACAGAAGTATTCGACTACCTCTCACTTTCAGCTGTTATAGATGGAAAGGTATGATACCCTCTGAATTCTACCTGATATTCTTCATAAAGTGTTTTCGTTTGCTTTCTCCTCTCATTTCTAATCTTTTCATAGGCCTTTTGTGTACATGGAGGTCTGCTCAGCCGCTATTCCAAACCTTGAAAAAAATGCATCTATTGAGGATTAAGCGATCATCCCTAAACGAGAAGATCTGAACAGGAAAGCTTTAACGACTAGTAGTTAAAAACTCCAATACAACTAATACTAAGTTTCACTGCAAAAGACCCCAGAGGTCTGAAAAGGAACCCAATCATGCAAAAACTTTAGATTTCCTTTGAATCTCTGGAGATTTTTTCACTAAAACTTCGGTGCCCCCTCTTGGTTTCAGGTAGCAAAAGTGCAAAATGCACCCCCCTCCCAACCTACCAAGCCCTGCGGCGCCGGAAGATATCCTCAGATAGACAACTAAGTTCCATGAAGTAGAAGTTATAGGAGCTATGAAGCGATATAATGCCGTAATAGTACAGACAAACCTGCGTGATCTGTCGACTTTCATGATTTCCTCTAATAAGCATCATTCGGTCTGGATATCGTACTTTTAATGCGAGTAATAGAAGAAAAGTTTCTACAGAATAAAATCCACGATCTACGAAATCTCCGAGAAAAAGATAATTTGTGTCAGGTATTTGACCTCCAACCTAAAATGACACACTTGAAAACGTTGGAAAAATGTGAATACATCTAAAAAAGAACGCAGATCACCTTGAATAACTCCATGAGATCATAAAATTGGCCGTGAATATCACCACATATCTAAAGGAATCAGCACTTATGGCCAAAACAGACACTTTTCGTTGAGCGATCCTCAGAAAGTGACCAACCGTAACTGGCGAATCTATCACTTGAACATTTCCTTCTTGGACTAGTATTTCTCGTGCTTTCGAACACAATGACTTTACATCCTGTTCCGAAATCAGCTCACATTTCATCAATGTTTCAATGTGCCTGAAAGAGCAGGTATTCCATATAATTACCACATAAAAAGAAGCACCGGTTTTTATGCCAGCATGAAAAGAATTTGGTGTAATGGCAAATGTAGGGCTCACTCGCCGCTCGTTCTAAGAGCAAATGTCGGATCTGTTCTTGGAAGAAGCAGCCAAGTCTTCCATTACTCCGGAACCGTTGAATGGTACTCAGCTCGTCTGTACACTAACTTTTTCCCAAAACCGGATAGCGCTCGAAAAACAAAACGATCCTGGATGCGTGGTGCATCAAAAAGGAAGTGATCAGCGAAGGGAAACTTAATCCTTTCATGTCAAGGAAGGGGCGTGTTAGCAAGAAGCTACCCATGGCCCTATCAATTAATTAGCTGCACAACCGGAGGACGCTCAACCGACGAAGTGCGCTTTTATTAATGCGAAACAATTTTCTGAACGGAGTTCTCACGGTTTCCCTTCATCATTTCTTCACCCTTGTGCGTCGACTCCGTAGGAAATCAGACCACCAAGTTTGTTAAAATATACTCATTGGAGTGCAGGAAAGACGCGATCGGTAATCCTCGTAAGCACTGCTCCAGTGCCTTTTAGCACATGTCTCTTCAAGCGAAAACATCGGCCTACCAAGTAAGGGACCGTTTTCGGTAGTGAGCAGATCCTAGGGGGAACATTTTATAAATTTCAACATCTTCTGGGATTGCAGGTTTTCTTTTACATTTACCAGATTTTCTGAGTTATATGCCCCTTGATTATAAGTTACACTTTCCTTTGGACACTGCGGAATGTTTCGCTCCGAAACAAAAGACAGTTAGGATCCTCAATTATCAGCGTCCTGGAACGCAATAATTGGCGATAAAATACTATGAATGTCTTAGACGGACAGCCAAAGGTAAGGAGTGCGCAAGAGGCAAAAAACTGCTGCCGTCTACTTCGAATCGTTTCGTTGCGTTCTCTCACCGCGATCGCACCAGATTATGTGGCTCTAGGCCTCAGAAAGCAGGCTCTTAGGGGTGTGAATTTTAACTTCGTCCTCAGTCGGAACCTAGCGGTAGAGTAAATGCTGCTGCAAAAAATGCCGGTGCTGCATGTCACGCGCGCGGTCTGTTGATTAAATTATCTGCTTCCGGAATTTGCGGAACGATTCCCTAAATGGAGCTACGAATGTTTCTTGGTACACAGTGTCTCATATGCATCCTTTGAGGGCAACTATAAATAAAGTGATTGCTGGCGTCGGCTAAGTGATCGTGTGTTGGCCGCTGGCCTCGAGTCTCAGGCAGCAAGTTCCCGAGCACTTGAGTGGATCAGAACAAGAGAACTGATGCATTGTCGAGGGACATCATAACCACCTCATTCAAGGCTCAAGGCTGAATTTCGTTTGTCAATTCCGAAGCAGGGCACCGCCAATGAGTCGCAGAGTATTTCCCGGCCAGTTGACATAAGAAGTCGCAGCACGTCCACTATAAATCAAATGGGTCCTTACGCGAATGGTACTACTATTTCCAATGTCTCTTTCGCCATCAGCGCCACTACACTCCTCACCCCTTGTATTGCTGTTAAACATTTACAAACTAAAACAGTCTAGATCAGCATTTTAGAGAATGTCAAAATAATGTAATGAATTACACTGGCTTATCGAATTCTGAAAAAATCTCTACTTCAGATGGAGTGGACGCGATCGATGGCCAGAAACTCGTTATCAAGTTAGCAGCAGACGACAGAAAGGATGATCGACGTTTCGTATTGTCAGTTTAGTTGACATATTCATGACGCGACTGCACTGTTGGATAAGTGTTAGTAAAATTCAACGGAAGGTGATAAAACGTACTTGTCTAAATCATCGACTGTCAACTCTATAGGACCTGCACCGGCAGTGACAGGGGAATCGGCTCGAACCTCTGACGAGGCTAAATCGGCAATCGAAGTGGCCATTACCATTTATGCTAATCTAAACTAAAAGTCACTATATTTCACTAACATATGGCACGAAAAGTTAGAAAGCTCGCAGATGAGAAATCACAAGTTGACAAAAAGCTTCACACAATTATACCGCGACAGCGGCTACAAAATCTGACTGTCACAAGGAATAAATACTTCAATTTAACAGAGGACTAAGGTCTGAAAACCTTGAGCTATTTCAATGGGTTTAATCTATATGTACTATTCGAAAACCCCTGCAACAACACTATATGCACCTCTCACCAACGAGGAAAGACAAGGTGACTATGTCAACCAATTTGCAGAAGGAAAATCACCGGAAAAGCCTCCGTAATAAATTGCATCAATTCGAAACAACATTGTGTCCCGCGGAAACAAAGCGCGAAATGGCTTCGTGAGCCCGTAAAAAACTCCCGTTCCGTCCCCAATATTGGGATGTTTGCATGACCGTGATGACCAGTAGAAATAGCAAAAAAATAGTAGCGAAATCAAATGACTAGACCCTGAGCGCCTGACGGCTTCTGTCCAAGAATTTGCCGCGGGGCAAGTAGTTACCGTAGAGCATGGTTGCTGAGCAGTATGATTTATTAGGACATCATTGGGTATTTTTCCGTAGAGTTCTTGTTGTTGTGTCTTTGGTGCTTCTGAGCTTGTGCATCAGAAAATTCCAATGATCTGAGTTTCTCTTGACTTCAGAAAGCATCGTCATATAACATCCAAACGACAGTCAACGACATCAGCGCGGCGGCCTGATTATCGACGCGGCGCGGTCGGCGGAGAGGGGGGCGGGCCGATGCCCACGGCAGCGGGCGCTGGTAGATATGGGCCTCGGGCCGTCACTGCTGCTCACGCTGCGCATGGCATGATGACGTGATGACGTCGATGAGCCTCATCATCTGCAGCACCGAAGTACTCATCAACTCCACAAATCATGCTCATCAAGGAGTATCGGATACTCCTGCCGATGACCGTGGAGGAGTATCGCATTGCACAGTTATATATGATTCAGGCAAGTCCCTTCTCCCTTCCCTTTCCGTTTCGCGCATTTGACGCGGCTGGTCTAGCAATTGCCAATTAGGCACGCGACATGATCACACTTCCCGAGTCGTTGCATAATTACCCCCTATGGGTCTTATGTTTACCCCCGTATACGGTAGGACCGATTCTTCAACAATATCGTCCTCATTTCTCATTTCTACAGTGGTTTGCAAAAGAACAAGATCAATCTCCAAAGAACCACTTCGCCTTTTCCAAAGCTGAATATGATTGTTTCCCTCCTTCTCTTCGATTTGCATACTCGTTTTTTTCTTCTTTGTTATTGATTATTCAGTCATATTATAAAGACATTAGCTTAATTATGTCCAAATAGTCCATATTGAGTCAACGGAGACGTTGACAAAATAATCGTTACGAATAGTTGAGTATATGAAGACATGCAAGTTTTTCGGCCTCTAAGGGCAACAGGACTGCACTGATGGCTATCGAATGCCATATGCACTTTTTTATATCCTCGTTCTCCTCTCTCTTACCCTAGTCAAGAGCTTTTATAGCGCTTATTGCTCAGTTCTGAGTCATTCTCGTTAGAACGGTGCTCAGTAGTTCCGTTAACTGCGGGTCCGTGCTCGTTCGATCCTTATCGAAGCTTTTCTTTTGCTTTTACTTCATCTTTTCTTTTGCTTTTACTTCATCCTCTTGTGGCCCTTACTTTACTTCAAGCACTGCAAACTCGAAGGATTCCGAAGTAGCAATTATCTTTTTGTGGAGTCAATTCCTTGCAAAAAGATAACGAGTCCGCAGTACCACAGGAAGTACAACCTTGGCGGTTCGAAACTAGTGGCAATGCCGCCAGAGGTCTGCCACGAAGGTCAAGCCCCGCCCACGCGGGTCAGCGTCCTCTCTTTTCGATTCATTCGGCTTTTTCCCCGCTCTTGTATGAAATATCTTGTAATTTCGTTGCCTGTTTCTCTTTTGCGCGCTCAATGTCTCTTCCTCACATGCTCGTACAGCGCTTGAAACTGACGGGACTCTTATTTCGACAACTTCAGCCGTTTCTTCAACTGTTTCTCAAGTGACCTCAATTACTACATATCTTTTCGTTTTTGAAAGCTGACTATGTACGACTTGCAACCGCCAACTTTGTCTTTAGGGCTGATCTGAGTTGACGATGGTTCTCGACCTTGAAATGGGGTTTAGACACATTTTGAGCAAATCACCGATATTTAGTTGTTGAAAAATTTTTTAAATTGCTTTTGCACTGCCATTACACAGGTTAAATTGTTTCATGTATATAGATTACAATGATTATCTCATTATGTTGTGGAAAGTCACATTCATCATCGTACGCACCTACACTTCACGATCCCTATGTTGCCTGGCTTTTGTACGTACTCTCCCATTCTTTCGTTGTCCGTTTTTCTTCAACCCCCTCAGTGTCACCTAGACGCAGTGCAGGAACTTGAGTCCGCAGTGCAATAATGGGCCGAGCTTCTCATGCAATGTATGCATGGTTTGAAATCCTCGTTCGCCAAATATTATGCAAAAACGCTTTTTTCGCTTCTGCTGAGTTGCTTCTGGTCTAAGGATTTTGGTATGCAGGGCAACCCTGCATGCATAGTTGTCTCCCACATTAAACCGCACATTTCACCCATGAGCGGGAAGTTTACCACCCGTCGCGTGGTCGTTTTCTTTGTTTCTGCTTTGTTTTCCTTGGAATCGAGCAGCCGAGAGTTTGTCGATTGCCGTCCAACGATATCAGCAAACAGACACCCGCGTTTATTGCTCAATTGACAGTTTCAGTCAGAGCGGGTGTCGTGAGAAGGTGATTTACGAATTCCCACAGCCAGTCATTACAGAAACATCACAAACAAATCAACTTCTCACTTTTGTTTGGCGAATTCCTATGACATGTGCGAAATTAACGGTTTTCTGAGGGGAATTCGTTTGCAGCATTGTTCCAGAAACCTTTCATTAGGCCAGCCAGCGCTAGATACCTTTGCCAAAACGAGGCCGGGCAACTAATGCCGTGCATATGCAACACAACACACGCACGCAATGCGCTCCTAATTATCCGTGGATAAGCTATTCACGTCATTTGAAACTATTTGGAATTGATCAATCAGCACTGAGAACCAGTAAAATATCATCGACCGAGGCGCAGTTCGGCGACGTAAGGGGCATTTGCACTTTCGCTGCTTCACTAGTTTCGGTTTACAAGTCTCACTCTGGTGAAACCTGTGAACTCTTGTGAAGCTGGAGCAAGCTCGTCGAGCCATCCATGGTAAACCTGTCAACTCTTGTAAGCTCATGGAATAGCTCACTAGATGACTGGACACGTCTATGGAAGTAGCAAAACAACAAAATGACCCCCCCCCCCGTTGCCGAGCTGAGCCTCGATAGGAACGTTTCTGTCAGTGTGTTCTTGAACTTCATTACTGATTAACAGTCGAAATTGGAATTTTTTTGGTGGAAATTGGCAAAAGCGAAAGGCGTTAATGGTTTCTGCAAGATTTAGGTGGCCTTAAAGAGTATGAAGGTTTTTACCTATACTTAGGAGATTACGAAGCCCGAGGTTGTTGAAGCAAGCCCGTCGTGCAGGAGGGGTTCCACATTAATCCCTATTTTGCATGAGGGATCCTCCAAATGCCCTCGCTCAACCTCTTACGGACGTGCCCTTTCTCATCATTCATAGGAATCCCCAACAGAATACTTTGGCTAGCGTGAGGAATAAAAAAAGTGCAGAGGACAGGGTACTTTAATGAATACGGGAGTAATTCTACATTTCTACTTCCCTAATGACCCTTTGAGTGGATAGAATGTCCGCTCGTTCAGAAAAGAGATTTTTGCATTTCTTATCTTCATCTTACAGGTACACACACTCCTAGAATAGCCCGTCGTTGAAATACGACTGACCGCTTTATCGCAGATATTTTCGCAGAACATTCTTTTTTATTTTCTGCAGAATGCACTCCTGTTTGTTCCTTTTCTCCTTTTTCTCTAGTTTTCGTCTTCCTTTAGCTACTTTACTCGATTAACCCTTTGACCCTTGTGAGGATATGTACGTATAAAACTCAGTCACTAGCTGGCTTCCCCTCTTCGCTGTAAAGGCCAGATTGTCTTCAAATTGCCATGACGACTCTGCAAGGAATTGAGATGCTTGGCGCATTGCAGAGAGATTGATCACAAGCTCTCAGCTTTTATTATACAACACCCTGGCCTGTCGTTGGTCTGGGAAATTTATGGAATTCATAGTCGGTTAGAATTTCTACCTTCACTGGATAAATGATGCCTTGAGGTTAATAATCACTACGTAGAACCTTAACTTTTCTGTGAGTTGTAATGCAAGCAAGGCCATTATTTGGGATATCCCTTCGAACAAGCCTGCCACCTGAGCTATTAGACAGGGCACGTTCCGCCGCGAGAAAAAAATCCAGCAAAATTGCACTCCTCTCCCCTCGAAATTCCCTCTTTTCTCCATCGTATTCACCATCTCATTCTTCCAGAATTCTCCCACACAGAAAACCGGAAAAGTCTACGACCAAATACATATATCTCTCTCAAAGAAACTGCGACCCCCCTCCCTAAGCCCCGCCCCACCACCTCCCCTCCGTCCGTCAGGCGACCAAATACAACTCTCTCGCTGGGATCCCTAACGTATGACGTGCCTTGATTGGGGGAAACTCAGCTGACAGTCGTTCATAACTTTTGACGCAGCAAGGACGTACTTTTTGCGATTCTTCCGTACCGTCATCTCCTTTGTCTTGTCAACGTTGAAGACAGATTCATCAAACTTGTCGACATGGAGCTTTTTTTTCCAAAGTAAAAAAACTTCTCAAAAAAGGCTCGTGCCAAGAGCAAGAAGGAGCGGTAGAAATGGTGATA